CCAGGTGCAGAAAGTACGAAGATAGGTTTGCTTTGTGATGTCTCAGGCACTGCACATTTTGACAAGCAGCAAGGGATGTGAAAAGAACTATGTGGCTTAACCTTGCATGTACCTGAAATTATTGTCCAAAGGCTTCTTGAGCTCTCTCAGGCTTGGTGCTGTAATTCCTTCCCTGGGGACCACTGGAACAGGCTCCTGGTGTGACTCCTAGGGATGATCCTATGCAGGGCTGCGAGTTGGACTCAATGATCCTTGTGGGTACCTTCCAACTCAACATATTCTGTGGTCTGTGCAGCCATAGTCTTCCCTGAACAAAATGAATTTAGGCTACTACTGTATCTGACTTGCCTCTGGCTTGAAATAGGTTGTCATCTTTATTGCATTGTAAGGGAGGGCTTATTTGCAAAATTAATGCACGGTTAGTTACAATAGGCAGATTCAAGTTGATATATTCCAGTATATCTGGAATATTTCCAGTTGTCTGGCTGCCTATGTCTATGTTAGCCTGTGTCAGCTTCCTTGTGTCAGCAGCACTAAAAGGAGAATCAAATCTAATCTCTTGTGATGGAGAATAACCTTAACCTAATGCTACAAGATGGGCCAGAAACATTTATTTGATGCTTTTTTTGGAAAAATGATATGGTTATCCAAGCTGTAAAGGATTCATTACTTTTTAATGGAACTACAATTTAAACAGGGTCTCAAATTCCCATTCTGTTTCCTCTGGAAAGGGACCAGACTTGCATGTGTACAGTACTGGATGCACTGCAGGTTTCCTTCAAAATGCATTTACATTTCCAGCAACTGTCTCTGAGGCTGGCATCAATTTCTGTATTTCTGTAAGATACTTGACAATTGTGGTTTTATATTTTCCTACAGGTGTGGGTTTCATGAATATAGTGGAGTGCTCATAAGAATAAGAAAAAAATGCCTGTTCTTTCTTAGTAACTTTCAGGCAGTTTTCTTTTACTTCTTTTCTTTACTTCTACTACTTTTACTTCTTTACTTCTAGTTTTCTTTTACTAAAAAAGTGTGAATAAAGAGGGGATAAAGGGATTACTTTAATCTTTAAAAACTTGGGTTTATTTTGTGGTGTAGGAACAAGCTCTGGTCCGGACCTGATGGATAAAAGGATTCCATATGCCATGGAATATGGAATCCTTTTCTGTCGTCTTTGTTGTTGGTGTCTTTTGATGTCTTTGTTGTTGGGCAGTTCTTTACTGTTGTCTTGGAATGTATGTACTTATGGGCAGTGAGACCCTTGCTCAGCCATTTTTGCACATTTGGGTTTTATTTGGACAGTTTAAAGAAACATATGTATCTGTGAGTGCTGCTGAACTCCAGAGATGTAATTCTTAGTGTTCCAGGGTGTTCTGCACAGCAAAGATGGGGCTCTGTCTTGGCTCAAGGTCTGCAAGGCTGGGCTGTGCTCATGACACAAATTAAGCTGAGTTGTCTGAATGAGCAAGTCTGCAAGGAGGAAAGATGGGCTGAAGTTGCTGGCTCTGCTGGCTCTGAAAAGACAACAGGGATGGTGGAGTTTTTGTGAGGCAAAAGCTGTGGATGCTGTGCTGGGCACCAGCAGGCTTTTGTGAGTCATGTGAGGTCACTTGTTCTGGGTTCCTGTGAGGAAAAGTCTTGAATTCCTTCAATTGAAATGAAGTAGCAATCGATCCTGCATAGTAAGATGCAGTGTGCCAGCGCAGGGATTCATTCTCAAGCCAGATACTTAAGGATTGCTCTGGACCACAAAAAATTCTCTTAGTATATTCACAGATGCAGAAAGCCAGAAGGTAAATTTGCTCTAAGTAAATAGCAGTACAAATTGCCACTTAAAAGGAAATCGTGAAGCTTGGAAATTTGTTATGGCATATGTGTTCTTGTGCTAGAATATGTGTTCTTGGGCTACAATATGCTAGTCAATACTAGATTTGTGAAAGTTCTCATCTTGTCAGAAGACTTGATGAATATGGCATAAAAAATAGCTTTTACATTTCTGTGAGCAACAAGTAATTATTTGTTGCTATGGCTGACTTTGAAAAATTTCCTTCTCCCTTCAGTTTACTTTTAAATGTATGAGCAGCCTTTCTAAGATTATAGAATCCATACTAAGTTTGCCTGTAGGGTTCCCTTGTGGAATGGCTCTTGGTTTCCTGCACAGATATATACTGTGTAATTCAGGGCAATGTTTTTGGTTCCTCTGAGAAATTTTGTCTTCCATTAGACAATAATTTCAGCTTCTTCAGGTGAAGATATTTTTATTGTAGGCTGGTAGCAAGTTTAAATTATTTTTTTTTTCAATCTTGGAATCACAGAATGGATTGGGTTGGAAGGGACCTTAAAGATCATCTTGCTTAAACTGCTCTGTCATGGACAGGGAACCTTCCACTAGACCAGGTTGCTCAAAGCCCTGTCTGACTGGGCCTTGAACCTTGTCAGGTATGGGGCACCCACAATTTTGCTAGGCAGCCTAAATTAGTTGGGTTCCACTTGTTATGATATTAACTTTGGAGGAAGATCTCTGCCCTTGTTGGAGGCTATTTGATTCTCTTGCCAACATTTCCAAACTTACATGCTTCAGTTATGCATATTGCTGGTGGTGTTACATTTCTTATTTGGTGTCTTTACTGTAAGGGAAGAGAGAAGCAAGGTTCTGGTTATGGACAGAAAATAGAAAATAGTATGAGCAGGGAAGTTACTCATTATTGATACTGAAAAAAAAGTATTTGGAAACTCATGTGGCAGGGCTCCTTCTTCTTGGCACTAGTGAGGTCTCACCTGAAGTGCTGTGGCCAGTTCAGGGCTCCCCAGGAAGAAAGAGCTGTGCTGGCTAAGCTGTCCAATGAAGGGCCACAAAGATGATGGGCAAATGGAAAATGGAGCCAGGCTGTCTTCAGCAGTCCTTGGTGACAGGACCACAGGCAGTGGACAAAAAATTAAATACAGGGCATTCCTTCTGAACATCAGGAAAAGTTTTACTGTGAAGGTGACTGAGCACTGGCACAGCCTTAGGGAAGCTGTGGACTCTCCATCCTTGGAGATACTCAGAAACCATCTGGACATGGTCTTGGGCATCCTGCTTGAAAAGGAGTTTGGATCAGATGACCTAAAGAGTTCCCTTCCACCCTCAAATTCTCCTGCAATTCTGTCTTGCTTGGTTGGCCAAAAATCTTTCTTCTTCACCTTCCTCATTGCCAGGCAGTTAAGTCTAGTAAATTGTTCATTTAGATGAGGAAAACCTTTGCTGGGTAAAATTGCCAGACTAACCAAATAATAGACATTTCATTAAGTACTAATAAACCTGTTTCTGGAGGTAATCCTGAAATAATTGCTAGGATTGCTAGGAATTCTCAGTACATGCAGCCCAGGTTAACAGCATGTTACAAATTACATGGTAAGCAAATGTTCTAAGCCTTATATTGAACAGGTTAATTCTTATGGTGTTGATTCAAGCTTGTTCTTTTCACCAAGCATGCAACTAGTTCTTGTCATCTTGGGAAAAACTAACCAAATACAAAAAACCCTCTCTTTGCTGCTGGTTGGCAGTCCTAGGTTCACTGATAAATGATTGCAAGTTGACTCCCACCATTGCCTCAAGGGAATTTACATACAGAATACTTGAGCAGCACATTCTTTGGTATCCCCCCATTCTCACTCTTTGTAATTTGGTTTACTTGTTCCTGAGGAAACTATTTTTGCTCAACTGCAGCTTCTTGATGAAGTCTTTGTTCTGGTATCTGTTCAAAAAATTGGGCTAGAAGTGAATCAATCATTAGCTTCAGGAAATTCCTGGCAGATAAAACTGATATCTAGAAATAGAATGGATAAATAAGGTGATGTGCAAACTGCATGTTCAGTATTTTAGAGTTTGTTTGTTTGTGAGCTTCTCAATTTACATATTAAAACTTGTTTTGATCCATCTTAGATTGCATCCTATTATTGGTGCCTACTTTAGAATATGAAATTATTTGCATGGTTTTTTTGCAGAGGTAGGTTGTCACAATTTTTACATTGAGACCTGATCTTGAGACTATGTATTATATATTACAATCCATGAGGTAGAAAAGAGATAGATAGACTGGAAAAGGTAACAGGAATCTTTTAACTGTCTTGGGGAGAAGCACCCTGGGGATGCTTTTTAGAGCATCCTGGCTCTAAAAATTTCATTGAATAATTTTTTTCTGATAAGTAGTCAGAATAACAGTATGTATGAAGGAGCAATTCTCCTCCCTTCCTCCCTCTTCCTCTGCTATAAATTTCTGATTTTGCTTGGACTTGCTTCTTACATTAGTGTAGCATTATTGCTTTAAAGGTTCGTTTTTGTGCTTTGCTGACTTTTTTAGGTATAAATTCAGATTCATGCTACTGTTCACCTACAGTGGTGTCCAGGTCCTAAAGTGAACTCTTTCCAGTTGTGAAGAATGAGTAGCAACATGAGTGGTTTCACAGTACAATGCTGTAGGTCGTCTCTGTGCACAGGAGGTAAATGTCTTTTTCAGGTCATGTCCAAGGTCTGTAGCTTGCAGGGTAGACTGAATATGGAAGTTGAGACGTAGAAGATGCTCTTTAAAATCAAGATATCCTATTGTCATGTAAATAGAACTCTAGGTATGGGTTTGTGAGTATTGTTAACACACATTGCTAAGGTTTAATAGAAAAACTCCTTCACTAAATTTTTTAATACTCTAGAAATTGGTTTGCAAAGTCTTGTAAGAAAAATACTTCATATGATTGATTAACAAGAAAGGCAAACCATTCTTAGAAGTTGTTTATTCAATGGGTCCTGAATTTTAAGACCAAATATAAGTTCTTTCTGTTTATTTCAGAAGCAAACTATTACTGACACTGGATGAACAGGATAGTCTTTTGCACTTGTTTATTGATAATTAAAAATTTTATTGTAGACTTGTCTTACTAAATATTGAGAGATTCTTATTTTGTTCTAGGACAGATTCTGTAGGCTTCCTTTGATGATTAAAAATTTTAATTTTTTGTTCTAGGTTTGGAACATCAAACAGATGATTAAATTGACACAAGAACATATAGAAGCACTGCTAGACAAATTTGGAGGAGAGCATAACCCACCTTCAATATATTTAGAGGTAAGTTTACATTCAAACAAATGTGGTTAGATTAGTGTTGTGTTATCTTATGTGAAGTATCTGAGGTTAAAACTGAGAATACCTGTATTAAAAGGGTATATTCTCTTTGTGCATTACAAACTGAGCTCTATTCTAAGAGATGGAAAAGAATTGTATGTCATTCCTGGGATTCAGAAGGGGAAGATCCGTGGCATGGTGTAATAATAATGTTGGTGCGATAGAAATGTCAAGGCCCTTCATAGGGGGCAGGGGAGAGAAGATTGTGTTTATAATGGAGAAAGTCATGCTGTGTTAAAGCCAATATATACACATGAAACATTTTGTAAGACTAACTTTGCCTTTAAAGCAGTTGACTTCCCTTTTTTGTCTTTGAAAAATGGTCATGTATAATCCAAAGAATTGCATTAGTAGAAGGGGACTTCTTACAGAAATAGATCAAATTGTGTGGTGGATTAAAATTTTTACATCACTCCAGATTTATAGAGTTGTGTTGACATAGAACCATTAAGAGCTGCATGCAAAAGTTACCTCTGTTAGGAATTGAAGGGGCATCATGTACTTCAAACTTGCCCTTTTTGTGCTTCCCTCAAGTATTGAAATAACTGGAGGTCAAACATATTTCTTTTCTAGTCCTTTTATTTGCAATTGCTGCCTAAAGGTACTGGATAATTAAAAATAAAGATCTCATTATTTGAGGTACTTCTAGCTTTTATCTTAATATGTCAGAGCAGGGCACTAGGTTGATTATACAAACGTTGACATTACGTCCTGAACAGTTAAGGTCAAGTGAGGCCCTTGGTAGTTGCTTTACGTATTGCTAATGTGAAATAGGAGTATTGAATCAGTGCTATCACTGTTTTATCCACTCTGCTACATTTAAGCACACCTCTGTTTTCACAAGGACCGGTTCATTCCATATGTTTGGATTTATTATTGCTGCATACAAGTGGGTTTCATTAGATTGTGAATCAAACTGCAACAATAATGAACTTAGTCTATACATATACATCTATAAGTCTGGATTTAAGGTAGGGAAGTTGTTAATTCAGCTATTTGTCATTAGCTTTTATTGAAACTAAAACCAAGATACATTACTGAAAGCTCTTTGTTTGTTTTGTAGGTCATTGATAGAGAAAAGAGCATTTGCAGTCATAAATAGGTATTGGAAAATTATTATAACAGCATGAAGAGTAAGTCTGAAATAGCTGGTGACCACAAATCATGAATCTGAAAGCAGATTTGCAAGTTAAATGGATCTATGTGCCACTGAGATGAAGCTCCAGCTCTGGCTCATCAGTGTGGTAGGGCAGCCCCATGAGGCAGAGCTGGGTGTTCCTCTGCTGCAGTGAGTTCCATTGGATCATGATACTTGTCTTGGGACAAGTAGTGCTGGCTCTGACTAGAGAGCCACAAACCATTGGGTAGAAGGTGAAAGGGGCTGACATTGTGCTTTTGCAGCTCTTATTCCGTAAGACAGTCCTGTGGAAAGAGCCCACCATGGCTGAAATGAAAAGCTTCTTCCTAGCTCTTTGCTATGCAGTTCCTCCTCTTCCTTTGTTCAGGTACTTGATATACTGACAGTGACTGAGCTACGACCAGTCACTAAATTGTAAGGAAAATACCCCTGGTTTTGTTGGATTACTTTACCATCCAGCAGGTAGTAGTTTAATCCTCATAATGAAGAAGTCAGTGAGCTGTGCAAAGCTGTGATTAAGATTAGAGAAGGGAAAGACTTAGCAGCCATGAGCCAAGAACTAGAAGACAGGATGAGAGAGGAAAGGAACTTTTTATTTGAATGGTCACTAGCATAAATTAGATCATCCTCAGATGCATTTATCAAGGTGAACAGGATTAAATGCTGCAAACCTGTAATTTGTGTGGTGTGTAGACTTCCTGTGGTAGAACTAAAGTGTGAAAGGAAAAAAAAAAAAGAAGCAATCTATTGCTGAATGCCAGGTACAGTTAGAAGCAAGATTACTCTCTACCTTTGACTGTTAATTTCAGTCCAGCAGCAGTTGTCTAGTGTGTCCTTTCTGTGCCTTTCCCACCTTTTGGCTTGGTCAAGATGGGGCTTGCTTTCTATTCTCAGAATTTACTTGGCAACAATTTATCTGAATCTAACCTGTCACTGCTATAGCTCATGTTTTGACTTCCTGTATTCCATCACTTGTCAGAGAAAGGGCCAGAAAAACTCTGGTTGCAGTACAGAAGAACAAAGCTATATGTAAAAAGTTTTGAATGTAGTGTGATAAAGTGTGAAAGAACATGTTTGCCTCTAGGAAATGCAGAACTAAGAAAACATAGTGGTTTTGATACAAATAAAAATATGTCTGTCTGATGTGTTAGAAATAGCAAACTTCCCATGTACAGAGTTAGTGTGTGATATTGGGTCTGGGGCTCAATTTCTGTACCAGGGTGTCATCACTGTCTTCTGTGGAGGGCTCTTCTCTCCCCTTAAGCTCTTACCTGTAGTCTGTGAGTAGGTCTGGAAGTGGTCTGTGTAGTCTCACCAAAATGCTTGGGTGGGAAGGTAATGGAACTTAGATTCCATCCATCATCTTCTGATCTATTTTTATTGCATTGCCAAAGACTTATTTCTGGCTGTAATATAGTCCTGCTTTTACCCAGAATCTGTATGAATAATTTTGGTAGTATATTACTTGAACTGCATCACCCTTCCTTTTGTTGCCTTAGATTCATAGAGTGGGTTAGGTTGGAAAGGATCTTTAAAGTTGTCTAGTTTAACCCCACCTGCAGGTTGCTCTGAGCCCCATCCAACTTGGCCTTGAATGTTTCCAGGGGTGGGGCATCCACCACCTCTCTGGGCAACCTGTGCCAGTGTTTTACCACCCTCATCATAAAAGTTTTCTTTCTTGTGTCTAGTCTGGATATACCCTCTTTTAGTTTACAACCATCAGCCCTTGTCCTGTAACAGCAGGCCCTACTAAAAAGTCTGTCCCCATCTTTCTGATAGATCACTTTAAATATCAAAAGGTCCTTTAACTATTACAGGCTGGACAATGCCAGCTCTCTCAGCATGTCTTCATAGGAGAGGTGCACCAGCCCTTTCATCATCTTTGTCACCTTGCTTTGTACTCTCTCCAACAGGTCCATGTCCTCTTACATTGGGAGCCCACAGCTGAATGCAGCATTCGAGTGGGGTGTCACAAGAGGGGCAGAATCACGTCCCTTGAGCTGCTGGCCATGCAGTTCAAGGGAGGTGATTTTGATGCAGCCCAAGATATGGTTGGCTTTCTGGGTAGTGAGTGCCAGCTCATGTCCAACTTTCCCTTCAGAGTACCTGTTCTGCAGGGTTGTTCTCAATCCCTTCATCCCTCAGCCTGTATTGATTAAAATTCTTCTCCTGCTCTGACCTCTTTGCATCTTCCATAAAATGTGAGTGACTCTTAAAGACTTCTTAAGAGAGTAGATTGTGTCTCTTGATCATCTCTTGAGGTTGCTATCACCAAGCATGTTGTCTTCTTTTAGCAAAAGTCTAAATTAGCCAAAACTAAATGCTAGGTAAGCATCTGCAAATGAATGCTTTTGCTTACACCCATATTGCCTTTCACTGGATGTAAACATCTAGTTTTATTGTAATGCTTCCTGCAAAACCATGGCTATTTTTATTCTTCTGACAAGTTTGACAGCAATCCATCCATCTTCCAGTGTGTAGATTTTCAGTATCATAGATTGTTTGGTTCTTTTGTACTCCTGCCTCGCTTTACATCTTTAATTTACTACACTTCTCACTACCTGCTTGTGTTCACAGAAATTGCAGCACCCTATACACTGGCTCCTGGCCTGTGTTGGAGCTGCCTCTGAAGACCTGTCAAGTGAAGTTGTGGTTGAACCAGGTGACAACATTGCCTTTTCAATTAAAAGTGAAAGGAGGGTTTGGGGGGAGCAGAAGCTTGTGAGAAAATGAAGAATTCAACAAGAAAATTAATCTGAAAATTGAGCATTCAAAGGTTATAATAAAATTATTTGTGCATTGACTATAAAACATACATCTCATGTAAAAACAAAAAGGAATTTATACCTTAGTTACTGTTGCTCAAGAAATAGAAGCTTTTGTTTCTGTATTCATCTGAGAGTGAAGACAAAGTTTTCACCCTTCTCAGATTTAATTTTTTTCCCAAATTCAGGAGAGGGTGTCAATGCATTTTACGTCAAAAGAACTTTAAAACTGACAGCTGTTGTTGCAGCCATCATTTCAGGTTTCATCAACTGACTACGAAAGAGAATGCTTTTCTTGAAATATTGAAAGTGATTGACTTGTGCTGTGTTGAATTCAGGATATATTTAATTATTCCTGCAAGAAGGGATACTCAAATTTAGGGGTATCTCCCTGCCTTGATCCATCACTCCTCATTGATGGTCTTATGAAGGTGAGTGTGCAGCAGGGGGAATAGAGCAGAGCGTGGAAGCCTGGGTGGAAAACATAGTGTGAAGCTGGAGGGCAGCAAGTTGCTTGCCCTGGTCCTCCCTGAGCAGGAAAATTAGGGCTCAGGAGGGAGACCAAAGCTGCAGAGCGACTTCTGTGTCTAAGGTACAGGAGGAGGAAACAAAATGTACAGAAGAAAGAAAAGAACATTTGTCATTAACCACAGAATTTTCTTCTAATCATTATAACTAGTAACAGCTTTGGGAATCTTGTCAGTGTTCTCTAATGTGATGGTAAGAAAAGCTTTTCTGTTTGTTCTGTCTGGAAGAAAGAATAAACCTAGTAAGCAATGACAGTATTAAAATCCAGAAATGGCTTGTAGCCAAATTTCCTTCTTATATAATCTTGGCTTTTAACTTTTCCCATTTGCTGTGTGTGACCTCAGCTCAAACAGACTCCTGGAAATCACTGTCAAACCACAGAATGGTTTGGGTTGGAAGCAACCCTAAAGATCATCAGGTTCCAACCTCCCTGGCATGGGCTGGAAACCTTTCAGTAGACCAGCCTGCTCAAAGCCCCATCTAGCCTGACCTAGAATAGGGATGAGGTGTCC